AGATAGATAGATAGATAGATAGATAGATAGATAGATAGATAGATAGACAGACAGACAGACAGACAGACAGACAGACAGACACTGCAGGTAGGTAGGTGGGTGGGTAGATATAGACAGACAGACAGAGATACATAGATAGATGATAGATAGATAGATAGATAGATAGATACAGACAGACAGACAGACAGACAGACACAATAGATAGATGATAGATAGATAGACAGACAGACACCGTAGGTAGGTAGGTAAGTAGGTAGACAGACAGACACGATAGATAGATAGATAGATAGATAGACAGACAGACAGACAGACAGACAGCACCTTAGGTAGGTAGACAGACAGACAGACAGACACCGTAGGTAGGTAGGTAGGTAGGTAGACAGACAGACAGACAGACAGACAGACAGACACAGACAGACAGACAGATAGATAGATAAATAGATAGATAGATAGATAGATAATGGATGGACGGACAGACACAATAGATAGATAGATAGACAGACAGACAGATTGACAGACAGACAGACAGACACCGTAGACAGACAGACAGACACGGTAGGTATGTAGGTAGACAGACAGATGATAGGTAGGTAGGTAGGTAGGTAGATAGATAGATAGATAGATACATAGAGATAATCAAAACTAATACAGAAAAAAGAGAGAAGGGACAAGAGAGAGAAAACCATAAAGTCCCGAAAGAAAAGACAAAAAGAAATATAAGCCTCCAATTTCCTTTGAAGCAGTTACAGTAATTGCGCACCAATAATTACAAAGCTATATCTCTTTTCCCAGGATTAGCAGAAAAACACCTTTCTCTCCACCACCACCCCTCTCCCACCCCCCCACCCACCCCCGGACTACCGAGGCAGTGAGATAGCTCTTTATTTTTCTGCTCGCTTTCTCTTCGTTTTCACAATATTAACTCCACAGCGTGAGCCAATCAGCCCCGGCCATCTGTTCAGCCTTGGTTCCCCCCCTCCACCTCCCAACCCAACCCAAACTCTTAAAATGTGGCATGGAAACGAACATCGGCCTCCCCGCCAAGGAATGGGCGATATTTTCATTAAAATGTGGAGACAGGAAGAAAAAAACAAACACGAAAATACTGTTGACTTCAGGGTGGGATTCTGTTCGTATTTGAAAAGCAGAAGAGGGTGGGGTCTTCATCGTCTCCTTTGAACGACCCCGTCATAATCCCTTGCAGGGTGGAGCCTGGGCAAGTGAATGGAGCTAGTAGAGTATTTTCCTGGCTGGATGCCTCTCCCGTTGCCAGGGTGGAGTTTTGTTCAGCAGATATAATTCTCACGGTGCCCAGAGAAAGAAATATCTACCTCTGTCTAGGATCGAACTCACAGCCTCTCGTGAGGTGAGAGCCACCGCAACCGCTCAGGAGAGGGAGGGTCATGGAAGCCCCCTCCCCCCCAAAAAAACCCTGTACAACTACCCCTCCCCTTATAAGCATTCATTTAGCGACCATCCGAAGTTACAACGAAACTGCAAAAAGGGACCCGCGACCGATTTTCTCACGACCGTTGCAGCCCCTCTGCGGTCACGCGATCAGAATTCAAACGGCTTTGGCCACGGACTCGTATTTAGGACGGTCACCGTGTCCTTGGGTCGCGCGATCCCCTCTTGCGACTCCCGGCGAGCAAAGTCCACGGAGAAGCCCAATTCACTTAACGACCCTGCGGTGATTCACTTAACGAACATGGCAAGGGAGGCCCATTTCAGCTCGCCATAGTCTCGCTTCACAACGTGAATTTGGGGCTCCCTCGTGGTCGTAAAGTGGAGGACTCCCCGTGAATGTGGGGGCTCCTTGTGTTTCTTTGGTGGTTTTATTTCAGCTTGCTCCCCCCGTCTCTCGATACGCGTCGACCCCGGTTTTATTTTGAGGGGCGGAAATGTACAAAAATTAACGCGTTCCTTCTTTTTCCTTTCAGCTCCGACCGGCTGATCGAAGAGACGATAAGGTGAGACCGGGAATGGATTCCTTTGAAGGGAATCCACCCCCGAGGGGGCGGAGGGGGGGCCCTTCAAAACTTTTAGCAACGGGTTCTCTGCCTGGTTGCGGGGTGGGTGTGGCCGTGGTGGGCGTGGCCTAGTTCACCTCCTGCATGGGGGGGGGGAGTGTTTTTGCCCTCCCCGGGCTCTGGATGTGAAGGTCCCAGCGGGGTCCCGAATTAAATCGAGGCAAACTTCCAGCAGTTGAAAAGGATTTATTGGGAGTGAATAGGTCCAGCACAGCTTAGTCACAAGGTCAGCCAATGAGTGTCCCATCACACTTGGCCAATAAAGAATTCATTCTATCTATCTATCTATCTATCTATCTATCTATCTATCTATATGGTGTCTGTCTATCAATCATCTATCATCTATCATATGTATCTATCAATCATCAATCAATCAATCATCTATCTATCAATCAATCATCTATATGTATCATCAATCATCTAAGTCAACCTATCAATCATCTATCATCTGTCAATCAATCTATCAAATCATCTATCATATGTATCATCAATCAACCATCAATCTATCAATCATCTATCATATGTATCTATCAATCATCAATCAATCAATCATCAATCAATCAATCAATCATCTATCATATGTATCATCAATCATCTAAGTCAACCTATCAATCATCTATCATCTGTCAATCTATCAAATCATCTATCATATGTATCTATCATCAATCAACCATCATCTATCATTCAATCTATCATATCTATCATCTATCAATCTATCATTTTATCACCTATCAGTCTATCATCTATCATATCTAGCAATCATCAATCAATCATCTATCATATCTATATCATCAATCTATCAATTTATCAATCTATCATTGTCTGTCTGTCTGTCTGTCTGTCTGTCTGTCTGTCTATCTATCTATCTATCTATCTATCTATCTCTATTTATCAGGACAGAAAAGGCTGGGAAGAGACTTTTAAAAATACCTCGCTCTCTTTTTCCTCCAGAGCTAGAGGCTGGGAAGGGGATGGGTTTTGTGGTGGGGGCTATTTTAACAGATAACAGATAATCAGAGTTGGAAGGGGCCGTGTAGGTCATCTAGTCCAACCCCCTGCCCAAGCAGGAGATGTCTCTATCTTGGACGTCTCTATTGAGACTTCCTGAATAGTGGTGATGTTAAGTCTCATTCTTTCAGTCCCGTTCTAACTTTGGCCATTAAGTGAACCATCGTAAGTTGAGGACTACCTGTACCGAACGAAATAAGCTCTCTACCCCCACCCCCCTTCTAACCCCACCCACCCAACACGACGGAGAAGAGGCTTTTGAAATGACCTCACTCGCTCTTCTTTTCCCTCCAGAGGCTGGAAAAAGGGGGATGATGGGTTTTGTGGTGGAGGGAGGCCATTTTAGACGTCTCTACGGAGAGATTCCTGAATCGCAGCGGTGATTGGAAATTGGAAGTGGCCTTTTGGAAAGCGGCGCTTTCACTCGCTTCCCTTAATGGGCTCCTCCGTTCGGCCTCTTTTCTTCTTCACCAGCCTCATCTTGGCAGCGTGGGAGAAGGAAGGAGAGCCACAGTGGCTTTCGGAGAGAGAGAGAGAGAGAGAATCTAAAATGTATTTAACATTAGCGCTTGGCTCGGGGCCTTTCAGCCACAGCTGTGGGCTGTCAGGACTCTGGTTGTCCCCGAGTTACGACCACAATGGAAAGCCCAAATTTCCGTTTGACACCACTCTCCTGGTGGTCGGCCCAAAGTCACCCACCTGGCTTTTGGGGGGCTAAGGCGGGGCTAGAACTCCCTGTCTCCTGGTGATTGGCCCAAAGTCACCCAGTTGGCTCTCATGCCTAAGGCGGGACTAGAACTCACCGTTTCCTGGTGATTGGCCCAAAGTCATCTAAGATGGCTTTCATGCCTAAGGCTGGACTAGAACTCCCAGTCTCCTGGTGATTGTCCCAAAGTCACCCAGCTGGATTTGGGGGCTAAGGCGGGACTAGAACTCCCAGTCTCCTGGTGATTGGCCCAAAGTCACCCAGCTGGATTTTGGGGCTA